TCTGATCTTCCTTACTTTAGGTTTGCCGCAGGGGAGGGAGAGATTTTGGATTACTGCGGTGCCGTTGCTCACTGTTGCTGCTCACTGCCACTGCTAATGGTAGGAGCTGGTTGCTGCTGCTCACTGCTCAAGCAAAGAAGGATAAAATCTATTGCCAAAAAAAAGGAGTGAATAAGGATCTGAAAGCGAGCTTGAATGGAGAAAAATGGTAGAAAAGAGGGGAAAAATGACGGATGGCGAAACCAAAGAAGATGAAAGGATGGAAGAGGGTACTTTTTTCAATGGGTAGTATATTGACACGTCACAAGGATAGATGTTTGTTTTTTGAGCAGTGCTAGGGGCACGCGCCTGCTGCACTCTCCGGCCAACACATGCTTTTTTATTGGGCTAGATAAACTTAGCCATGAAATGATGACCTCTCCGAAAACCAACATAACGTGGCCCAATGAAAATGGAAGTGCTGGTTGAAGAGTCAAGAGTGCACAAGGCGAGTGTTCCTACTTCCTAGCATTCCTCTCGTTTTTTTCATAAATATATATATATATATATATTTAACTTTTAAATGAAAAAAGTGAATGTATTTTAATTTAAATAATATTTTTTAAAATTTTTTAATTTTTAATTTTTATATTATTGTATATTATAATATTAAATTTTAATTTTTATTAGAATTACTCTAAATTTTAATTTTAATTAATTTTATTTAATTTAACTGATAAAAATAATTAATAAATTATAATTATAAATTAATAACTAATGAAATATACAGCTAATCACTTCTTTAAGTTTGCTCTTTTTCTTTGTTCAAACATGTGCAAAGCATCTTAGAGAAAAGATGTACTCCTGCGTCTCTATTGTAATTGCTTCAACTTGCTTTAATTAAAATATTGTAATTTCTAATAAATTCAAGTCCTGTGGAGTTCAGAATTAATTAAGATTAGTGGAAGACAATCCCACTAGATCTTCCATCTTATTCTTGCTTTTTCTTTAATCGTTGGGTAAGTGTTTCACCCATCTCACTAGATTCAAATCCCTTTAGCCTCTTTCCCCTCTTCTTATCCTCCAATTCTCATTGTACAAAAAAAAATGCAAACCATTTTAGTGTATCAATCACTAATTATATCACTCATTGCTCTTTTATTTAAAGTGCTTTTTCCACATCCCGTTGCATACGCCTGCGTGAAATTTCCATTTTCCATTTCCTTTGCTTTCAATTGTCTTTTATGAATTATTCCGTATCCAATTATTCTTGACTTTCAACCTTACGTTCTAGTATCTTCCACAAGTTTTAGTGCTAAGCGATAATGTCACTAGTAAATAGTCCATATACTTTGGGCAATACCGATAGAGTATAACAAGAGTTTATTTAATTTAACATCACATTACTTGACAATATTTGCGATGAAATGTAAACTTTAAAAGAATTTTTTTTTTTTTTCCTTTTGTCCGCAAATGTCAAAGAAATATAAGCAACATAACTTTAAGACAGGTCATCAACAAAACTTTTAGGATATCAGTTATACTACAATAATCCTTTTAAATAAAAGGAATTGAGTATAACAAATTTTTTAATCTAATTAAAGGTGTATTTATTACATTTTTTATCACTAATTTATATAGAAAAGATAAACGTTTAATTTATTTAAATTTTATTAATTGTCAAATTAAATTGCTCCATGTAGGCAATGGGATTGAAAATAGAGTTTACTTTTGTAATTTTTCATTAATTAAGTTTACTCTAATTAAGTTTACTTTCACGGTAAGAATTTTCAATAGAGTTAAATTTTAATATAAGAGAGTGAATTTCTACCAAAACTTATAGAAATTAACATTCTCCACAAAACACAGTTGGTGACTTAACAGCAAAAGCTATAAGCACTTACCAGTACCAAGAAAGAATACTAAATACAATAGAGTTCAAATTTTAAGTAAGTGCTTTTTTTCCCCCATAACTTCAAATAAGTTTATTTGCTCATATCAGGGTTATGATGATTTACAATTCTTAAAAATAAAGGACACTTAGGACACTTAGGTATTGTAATGCTTTTTCTAGTGGAATAATTAATTTGATGAGATATGTTTCTTTTAATTACTTGATTATATGTTTGCTTACTTAGTTTAGCATTTTTTTTTATTGCAAATAGAACGTATGAAATGGCTAAAACTATCTGGATGTGAATAATATATGAAAGTTGTTATGGTTTCTGTAACTTAATAGCATATTTTTTTTTGGGGTGATTTTTCCATGTTTGAGAAGATATCT